CAAACCAATTTCCCTAAAGTACAAATCTGACCATGTCATCCCTCTACTCAATAAATTCCATTGGTTCCCTATAACTTCCAAAATACTTACTCTTGTATTTGGCATTTATAGACGTTCACTAGAGAAGGAAATGGCAAACCACTCCAGTATCTTTGCCAGCACGGCCCATGAGGTCACGAAGAGTCAGACTGGACTGAATGACTGAACAACAACAGCCCTTTATAACCTGACTTAAATCTACTTTTCTATCCTTATTATAGCTTTCTCTCTCTCTCATACAAACTGCAGTCAGTTAGGCCAAAGTGCCCTTCTTTTTCATTCTCATAGTTAGCACTCCAACCTTCTCCTGCCTCCCTGCCTTTGCTTGGCTATCTCCTACCTTTCCCGTGTCAGAATTCCTAGTTTCCTTCTGTGTTCATGTTAAGGACCACCTTCTCCATGAGGCCTTCCCAGATGCCCCCAGCCCCCTCTCTAAAATTACCTTGACTTTTGAAGCCTTTCAACATCTGTCCCCAACCTATTTTTTAATCCTCATTATATTTATTTTAACTTGAAGTCAAAAGACCTGGTTTTGAATTCTGGCTCTGATAATTTCTAGTTGTGTGACTACTTAATATCTCTGAGCTGTAGTTTCTTCATCTGTAACAATGGGGATAATAACAGGCCACCTACCTCACATATATATTGTGAGAAAAACATTTTATAAGCCTTAAAGCAACACTGATATGAGATTTATTATGATTAATATTATTATTACTACATCAGAGTGGCTAGTAATGTTGTTATAGTGGTAAGTTCCCATAGCAGCACACTTAACTGTTATATTTGTATATGTTGTACATATTTTGTATTTGTAAAAAAAAAGTGTGTGTGTGTGTGTGTGTGTGTGTGTGTGTGTGTGTGTGTGTGTGTATTCCTATTGTCTCCCTCAGCTAAGCTGTAAGCCCCTTAAGGACAGGAACTGTTTTTTTGCATTCTCCAGAACTTTGCACAGTGTCTAAGCTTTTTGTTGTTTAGTTGTGTCTGGCTCCTCGTGACCCCATTTGGGGTTTTCTTGGCAAAGATACTGCAGTAGTTTGTCATTTCCTTCTCCAGTTCATTTTACAGATGAGGAAACTGAGGCAAACAGGTTAAATGATTTGCCCAGGGTCATCCAGCTAGTAAGTCTGAGGCTGGATTCCAACTCAGGAAGATGAGTTTCCCTGACTCCAGGCCTGGTGCTCTATCCACTGTGCCATCTCACTGCTAGGCTGGGAGGCTAGCTAAAATTGGTCTGAGCACAGACAGAATGGTCATTTTGATATAGTGGAGGACACATCTGCAGAAGGAAGGAGAAAAAAGGTCTGGTCACAGTAGGATGCCACTCTGGTCAAATGACATCAGAGTCTTGTCTGTATCTGTTTGTCTGTGTGTATAGCCAGAAGAAGAAACAGCCGACTAAAAAGTGGGTGAAGGGCAAAAAAGGGAAGTGTTCCAGACTGGTAATGGGACCTTTCAGCCACTCCCCCAATCTTGATGAGAATAATGCCAGAAAAGAGAGGACTCTTATCTGAGGGCACCAGGACAAACAATGATCCTAGGGGCATAGATCTGGAGCCTGAAGAACTTACACTTCCTTTTATAAAGGAGAGGTAGTTAAGTCAATCAAAGTTTGAGCCCCAGGCTCTTTGATTCTGAATCCAGCACTCAGAGAATAAACCATTTGGCGAAAGGCAGCATTCGAATGGCAACCGTGGACAACAATCACTTGGTGAAATAACCCCACCACCAACTCCCCTTCCAGCCCCTTGGGGCTCTCTGCCTCACATGCTGGGGAAAGCAAGCCTCAGAGAAGGGAGGCCTGCTGCTCTTCCATGTCCTAGAGAGTCCAACTCCCCAGGCCAGGTTACAGCTGCCGGAACGGGGATCAGGAAGGCACAGATGCTGCTGTGTGAGGTTTGCCCAGGAGGGCCCAGGGCCGGCCTACAAAACAAGAAAGGCAGGTGCTTTGGGGAGGGGAGGGACCCAGAGCAAGCTCTGCATCTGGCAGTGCATGCCCCTGAGCCCCAGGCTGAGGACAACAGCCTCGATTGTCCCTCATAACAGTAGCCCTGCTGATCCCAGAGAAAAGAAAGGCATGGGTCCTCTCTGGGAAGAATGCCCCACTTTTCTCTCCAGAGCCGGGGCCCCTGAGCAGAGTCTCCCAAGTCATGGAATCCACAGCTCTAAAGTTGGCAGGCCATCCAGAGGCCTGGATGCCATCCCCAGCTTAGCAGCGGGCTCTGAGCCCCTCCAGGCCAGAATAGAGACACACTCTGCTCTTTGTGCCTGAGACTTGGCTGGAGCCAGACTAAATGCTTTGCAGATAAAGCTGCCTCCGGTACCTCTGACACCACTAGAAAAGGATGCAAAGACCCTGCCTCTGTCATCCCCACTCCCTCTAGGATATTTTACATGCCACCACTCCATGCATGAGTCCCCACATCCTGCCGCTGTGTTCATCCTAAAGAGTAGTTTCAAAGTCAGGGTCAAATCCAAGAGAACACAAAGGCAGCCAAATGCCTTCAGGGGCAGAGCCCAGCACAGCTGATGTCAGAGATATTTTATGAAAACAAGGCTTGAGGTCATTTCACTTTGTGGATGAAAGAAATTTTGCTTTAAAGGCTTTTACCTAGTAAACAGTGAGAAAAACTATAGGCAGGTCCTTAGGCATTGCAAAGAACAATGCTAGACTCACTGGTATGTAGTGAAATTCCCAGTAAATACAGTTTAGTCTAGTGAAAAGTTCCCTGGGATGGCAGCTGGGAGAGCTGGGGCCTTGTTCAAGGGGACTAATTCATGGTGTGACTTTGGGCAAGCCATGGGAGGAAGCACAGAGGCCAATGTTGAGAGGCCTGCCTCTCAACACTCCTGAACTATGTAAGGCAAGTCACTTCAACTCCTCATGCCTCAGTTTCTTCGTCTGTAAAATGAAGGAGTTAGACTAGATGACATCCCAGGTTCCTTTCAGTTCTAGGTCATGGTTCTTGTGGGATCTTCCTTCACCTGCCTGGTTCTCACTTTTCAATCATCAACTAAATCTAAGCAGTTGTATTAAATGAGATAGCAAGTGTGAAGTGCTTTGAATGAGTGCCACAGAAATGCTATTGTTAGTGTTATTATTTGATATTATTATTGTTGTTGTGATTGTTACTTGGACTAGATGCTCTGAAAGATCCCTTCTAGTTCTAGCGTTCTCCTAAATCCCAGAACAGAGTCTCTCACGGCATCTTACTCAAAAAAAGCCTAAGACAAATTGCAAGTACAACTTGTATGGCATCCTCCAACCCCAGAGTTCTTGGCCGTCACTAGTTGAGGCTAGCAAATGGCCTTTTAGCAAAGAGCTACTGGCAAGGGCAAGGAACAATTTATCCTGGGGGGGAACAGAAAAGAATGCTGGTCTCATTCCCTATGCTACCAGTGTTCCTCCTAAGGGAAGGTGGGCCAGAAAGTGATTTGTAGTTAGTTCTTTGGGAGGCTGAGGTCATCTGGACAAACAGGGTTTGGCAGGATATTGTTCCTTCAAATAGATGTGGAAAAGGAAGCACGGACAGGGGACTCGTCCAGAGCCTCCTAGCAAGTTTACAGCCAAGGCATGCATTCAGACCTTCATCTCAAAGCCAGAGCCTGCCTTGGTTACCTGGAGCCCATGGCAGGCCTGGTTTCCTGAACTCTGCCTCCCACCTCTAGCCAGTTTCTGAAATCTAGTCTCCACTGGGAAGTCAGCTCGAGGTGCCATGGACACTCCCCCTGTGTAGTCACATTACTGGGCAACTCCCGCATGATAATAATATTAATAAGAAAAAATCATGTTTCTGTAGTGCTTTAAAGCTTTCAAAATGTTTTTCTTAGAACATCTCGGTGAGGTAGGGGGCATGATATAATTCCCATGATACAGATAAAGAAACTGCAGCAATAAGTGGTACAGATAGTCACATGGCTGCTAATTATGAGAGCTAAAAGTCAAACCAGGTCTTCTAAGTTTGAGTTCAGCACCCTTTCCACAACACTGTCTCCTGGGGTTACTTTAGCTCCAAAGGCTAAAGCATTAGGGGTTGGTGTGGGGGAGATGAGGCTTATAGATTGAGGAGCAAGAAATCGCTATATTCCTGGCTAAGTGTACTAACTTCAGTGGGCAAGGGAGTGCTCTCACTGTCATGTTTATAGATCCAGGCATTGACCCTATGGCTGAGTTAGGACAGGGCTGTCACATCATTCAGGGTAGTCACAGCTTCAGGATTCCAGCCCAAGTAAAACTTTATTAGTCAATCGGTCCCCTCCCAGCCTACCATGTAACTGCTGAGCACTGTGCTAGGTACTGGTCAGGTTATAACCATTGCCCACTTCTATAGATCAGTCATTAATCTATGGCCCAGGGGCAGGGAACCTGCAGCCTCAAGGCCACATGTGGCCCTCTAGGTCCTCAAGTATGGCCCTTTGACTGAATCCAAACTCCACAGAACAAGATTTGTTCTTGAAGACCCAGAGGGCCACATGTGGCCTTGAGGCTGTGGGTTCCCCATCCCTGACCCAGCCTTTCAGCAGACCCACCTCTCAGAAAAGGGGATCAGATCTGAAATCCCACTGGCTGAGTCAATGGCTGCATGGAACATGCACCTTGGTAGCAAGATGCTGGTGGGATGCAGCCCTGGCCCCTCTCCTATACATCAGTGAGCATGGGAGCATCCCAGTAAGCCATTGCCAGAGTCATTTATCTTCAGCAATGGGGTAAAATCTACTAGTTGCCACATCTCTGAGGATCTGGGCATGTTTTCTTTATTTCCACTGTGATAATCATAACTATACACAGCACAACAATTTGGTACTTATATTTCCAGACTCATGGCAGCTGCTGGGGCTGGGCCATTACAGGGAGACATTATTACTATGATTACAATGCATGAGAGCCGTCCAGTGCAGTGACCAATGATTTACAATCTCATGTCCATTCATTCAGCAGTGGGTAATAGTATGGAACTTACCTTGCAATTGTGGAATAGGGAGAGCTCTGTGTGGACCAGTTTTCCCATCAAAACCTCGCCTCAGCTTTTGACTCCCGATAATCTGTCACGGTGCCAGGCTGGGTTTTAGAGTTAAAGAAAAAGAAGACACTAAACAAGGGAACGTGAAATGATACTGGCCTCCATCAGCAGCCTCTGAATAGGACATTCAGGAAGCATGATCATGGGGAGTAAAAAACGAATGAAAGAAGCATCTGGAAAGCAATTTCATTTTTAAAAGGAGCAACAGAAATTGGCCAGAAAAGCTTTGCAAGATATGGCAAGTTTTTTTCCCAACAAGAGCGGCATGCTCCCAACACACAGATTGGATTTGTAATCAGAAGCTTTGGGTTTAAATCCCAGCTCTTCTACTCACTGTGTGCCTTAAGCAGCTCACTTCTTCCTGGGCCTCAGTTTTCTTATATGTAAAATGAGAGGTCCCAGAGGGGACTTTTTTGTTGTTTAGTCACATCTGAGTCTTTGTGACCCCATTTGGGGTTTTCTTTTTCTTTTTTAATTTAATTTAATTTTTTTAGGCAATTGGGATTAAGTGACTTGCCCAGGGTCACACAGCTAGTAAGTGTCAAGTGTTTGGTCTCTGAGGCCAGATTCGAACTCAGGTCCTCCTGACTTCAGGGCCGGTGCTCTATCCACTGCGCCATCTAGCTGCCCCTAACCCATTTGGGGTTTTCTTGGCAGAGATACTACTTTGCCATTTCCTTCTCCAGTTCATTTTACAGATAAGGAAACTGAGGCAAATGGGGTATTAAGTGACTTGCCCAGGATCACACAGCTAGTAAGCATCTGAGGCTGGATTTGAACCCACGTCTTCCTGATTCCAGACCCAGCACTCTATCCACTGCGCCACCTAGCTGCCCTGGGAGAGAACTAGAGTCTATAAACTTTATTGCACCGTCAAGCAAGTAGGGATGTGTACATGTTTGCATATGTGCACAGATCCACACATATGTGCACAGGCTCATGAATGTACATGCAGACAAATGTGCACGTGCACACACGTGGTGAAGTGCTTTCTGACAGATACTCTTCAAACATAACGAGTTTTTCTCTCATTTGCTGTTGCTACAACTGCTTTGTGGGCTAGTTTGATGTCTTTAATAATTATTATTATTTCTAATAACAATAACAGCCAATATTTGCATATCAATTTAAGGTTTACAAAGTGCTTCACATGTGTAACATGGAGTTCAAATCTGGGTATTTGCATAAAACTAGCTTCCTTGGTGGAGAGAATGCTCACTTGCCTGTGGGAAGGGCAGAGTTGGTGAGAGCTTGGGGAAAGGAGAGTTTTCTGGCTTTGACTTTGAGAGAGGACATACATGGTTCCAGGATCTCTTCAGGGAGACACCCTTGGAAAGAGAAAAAGACTCTGGAAAGAAGACAACGTGTAAAGGAGCCGACATGTCACTGACTTCCAACTTACCATACTAGAGACTTGGGTGAGATTGGGACTCTCTTTTTTGGTTGAGTTGAGATATCTCACTCTCAGTGGGAATACCCATTCACTCTGTATTTTCCAGTATATTCTAACCTATGTAACTTCTCTGATTTCTCTTAGCTTGGATAAATGGGTTTATTGGCTATTCACTGTGGTGATAGTCTTTGTGTAACTGGCGTTGGGGGATAGGTATTCATTAATACCTACTATGTGCTAGGTGCTGTGCAAAGTACTTTTCAAATATTATCTCATTTGATCCTCATAACAACTCTGGGGAGTAGGTGCTATTCATTATCTGTATTTTACAGTTGAAGAAGCTAAGGCAGATAGAGGTCAAGTGACTTGCCCAGGGTCATTCAACAAGTATCTGAGGCTGGATTTGAACTCAGGTCTTCCTGATTCTAGACTCAAGGGTCTATCCCAGACTAACAACACTTGGTTGTGTGGAGGAGAGGCAGATAGGTTTAATTCTAGTCTGGCATCCCATCTCCAAGGAGAGCTTAGTGGTCAGCTAATTTCTTGCTTCCCTTCAAATCAAAGTCTCTCTGAGAGAGGGGTGGAGACTACAGAGATATCTATTCATGCCTCTCTGGGAGTTACATCTAAACAAACCCATGTGGACATGGGCATAACACACATATACACTCTACATATATGTTATCTCTCCTGATGCTTATAAACAACCTGTGAAATAAGTGCTAAAGTTAATCTTATCTCCATTTTATACGTGAGGAAGCTGAGACTGGCGGTGCTAAGTAAATGGCCCAGAGTCACACAACTAAATGTCTTCCTTTACTCCAGTCTCTGGTGGAAAGGTAGCACTTCTCATCACCAAGGTCAGCTCCTCTACATGTCCCCTTGATCTCATCCCTTCCCATCTTCTCCATCCTCACTCTCCTCCTGCCTATTGGATCTGTCCCTGCTGCCTACAGATAGACCCAACTCGCTGCTCTAAAAACACCCCCAAAATGAAAACAAAAACAAGACCCCCACTAGACACTACTACCCCTTCACCCAATCCTATATCTCTCCCCCCTTAGAAAAAAGCTGCCTACATTCATCGCCTTTACTTCTCCTCCTCTCATTCCTTAATCCATTTGTGATCTGGTTTCTGACATCATTCAACTAAAGCTGACTCAGTGATCTCTTGACAAATCCAGTGGCTTTTTCTCAATTTCATCCTTCTTGACCTCCCTGCAGCATTTGACACTATTGGCCATCCTCTCCTTCCTGAGGATTGTCAGATATTGTTCCCTGCCCCCCCCATCCCCTTGGCTCTTCTCCTGCCCATTTGGCTGCTCCTTTTCGGTCTCCTTTGTTGGTTCATTATCCGTGCTCATGCCCCATGACTGTGGATGTAGCCCCAGTGCTCTGTCCTAAGTTCTCTTCTTTTCTCTTTTTACACTCTCTTACTTGGTGATCTCTTCTGCTCCCATGTCTGTGCAGATATCTTCCAGACTTATATATCCAGGCTTAGTTTCTCTTCTGAGCTGAAGTTCTGTATTACCAAAAATTTACTGGGCATTTCAAAATGGATTTAGTTTTGATATCTCAAAAGCAGCCTGCCTGAAACAGAACTACCTTTCCCTCCAAATCTACTCTTCTTCTAAATTTCCCTGTTTCTGTCAAGGGGATTGCCATATTTCTAATTACCAGTCTTCAAATCTTGACATTACCATCAATTCCTCTCCCCCCCTCACTCCACATATCCAATCAGGTAGCTAACTTTATTGTTTCTATATCTATAACATCACTTGAATCTCTTCCTTTCTCTCTATTCAAGTGCTCACTACCCTGGTTCAGGCTCTCATCACCTCTCATAATATATAATTTAATACACACACACATATTGACACCCACACTTATCCCCCTAAGAGAATATAATACAATCTCTTTAAAGGCAAGGACTGCTTCTTTTTTGTCTTTGTATCACCAATGTCTGGTCCATGCCTAAAAAACAGTAGGTATTTAATAAGTCCTTGTAGGTTGCTGACTGTCTGAAGTGAGATTTCAATTCATCTTCTTGACTTCAAATATAGCACTATATAGATGGGCATCACAGGATCAGGTGAAGGCTGGAGTTATAAACGTGAAGAACAATGAGAAATGGACACATGTTGGCATGAACTTATGGCATCTGAATTCAGGCATTTTGCCTCCCTTAAGATACAAAAGTAAATATGGCCGTTATGCCTCAGTTCTCATTCATTCATTCATTCAATAAGCACAAATTAAAGTATCTATTATTTGTAGAGTAAATACAGTTTAGATAAGACACAGCTTCTGCCTAACCTCACAGATCTTGTAGTCTTAAAAGATTAAGGTACAAACACACAACAGTAACACACAAAACTAAAGATGAGTGCATTAGGTTACTGCAAAGTGAAGTTTTATGTGAGGTCTGAAGGGAAAGATTTTTTCCAAGTTGGGCATGGTTGGGAAAGGTTATATGTTGGCTTTGAAGGCTGAGTAGGTGTTCAAAAGACAAAGATGGAGACACCCCAGGCATAGGAAAAAGCATGAGTAAAGGCACAAACACAGGGGAACTCATAGCTTGTTCAGAAAGGGAATAATACACCATTTTAACAGGTACATAGATTTTGTAAAGGACATAGGCTGACTTATGAAATAGGGTTGGAAAGATAGGATGGAACGAGATGTTAGAGGGCTTTGGGTGGCAACCAAAGGAGTCTGAAGTTTACCTACTAAGCACAGTCATTGAATATTTTTAGCAGAAAAGAGACATAACCAGACTGATGATGTTTTAGAATGTTATTCTGGTGGCAGTGTGTGTATAATAAATCTGGGATAAGGAGAAAATGGAGGAGGGAAAACTCATCCGGAAACTATTAGAATTGCCTCTGTGGTTGGTAATGGATATCAGCACTAGAATGATGACAAGGGGAATAGATGAGAGAAAGATATAAAAGACGTTGGAGATTCTGACAATTACTACTATATCACAGTAGTATCTGGGTTCTAGTAGAACCCTCTGGGCTCACTTCCCCAGTTTCCACTTGAACTTCCATGTTGAGTCCACAGAGGTTCAGCTAACTACAGTTATCCTTTCCACATTGCAACTTTTGCCATTATGGTTTTGATGTATCATGGGTCGGCATAAGCAATTAAATGGGAATTTGGGGGGAGTTTTGCAGAAGCCACAGACAGCATGTGAAGGCCAGAAGACGACACAGAGCCTATGACCAAAAACTTAACCCAAATTTTGCAATAAGATATTGTAAACACCCCATAAAAGAAAAAGAAAAAATTCGGACTTCTTCTCTGGTATGAAGAGAAGGCCAAAACATTTTATGAGGATTTTCCAGATCATGGGGATGACGTGCCCCTAAACCCCACGATGTAGAAAGGATAACTGTACTCTTCCATCATGGTTCTAGGGGTAACCCTGAGCTACTGATATTTATTTCTAGTACTGTTGCTCACAAGCCCCCACTGATATACTTTCCATTTATTACTAGCCTCAATCACCTTTTAGAAAAGTGTCTTTACTGAGAAGGTATAGTTTGGTACAAAAGAACTCCTCAAACTAGAATTGTCCTCTATGTGTACACACAAGGGCTCTGAGCAGAGTAGGTTCAGACTTAAAGTACAAGGTAGCAAGGCACATATTTAAAGAACAAGTGTGCTGGAGGGGTAAGTCATAGTTATTGGTTATTAGAAGTCATTCTATTTCTTTGTAGGGTACTCATGAGGCTTCCCTTAAATGCATCTCTAAACTCAATACCCTTTGTAGATTCCATAGCATTTCTCTCAGTCGCAAGGGATCATGATCCCTGAATTTGTTGCCATTCATAGGTGACTGTCTTTCCATTTCTTTGTGCATGCACTTCCTCAATCATTGATCCCAACCACCCTATCAGGAAACTGCTACTGGCATTCATGAACTTTACCTCTGGTCACCAACAGGATTTCTGAGAGCCTGATAATTCTCCTGAAAACACATGCTTGCCTGGTGTAGGAAGGAGAGAGGTAGTGAGGAGAGAAAGAAATTCTCAGGGATGTGGCTGGAGCCTCTCTACCATTAGACTGGTCTCCTGCTGGAATATGTGATTTATAACTGGCTTGAAGTATCATATATAGGTTCAGAGGTGTGTCTGATTCAGTCAGCTACAAGATATTTCCTGTTTGGCATCATCTGTCTTTATTCAATAATCAAAGCACCTAATTACTCTCAAAATGAGTAAGGGCTTGTTCATATGTAGTTTGTATTTTTGATTGGTTGATGTATTCAATTCAACTGTCTGGACCTTCTGTGATTACATTAATTGGGGTGGAGGTAGAAACCATTACTCTTATACTACCTACCTGTGTGACATTGAGGGTCACAACTTTTCTGGGCCTCATCTGCCTCAACTGTAAGATAACAGACTGGACTGAATGGCCTCTGATGCTCCTTTCACCTCTAGGATCCAATGCTCCCACAATCCAATGGGACTTACTGAACTTTGTTAACTCCCAACTGTCTTCTGCTCTCATTCTTCTATTGCTTATTCCGTCTGTTCAAGGGTATTTTTCTCGATATTTTATACCTTTCAACCCTGTTCATGATTGGTTTCCACCTATGTCTTCTCCCTTGACTTTGGTGTTTCTCTTTTCCTTCAAACCCATCAAACGGTGGCTTCCCACAAGAATCTGTACCCCCACCCAACACTGAGTCCCTTAGCAGCTAGGTGCAGCCCATTTTGGAGGCAGAGAAATATTTGTAAGAACAAAAACAATGAATGTTGGCCATGCCAGTTAGCCTTTAACACCCTTCTTTAGAGGTTAGTCTTGGCCCTAGTCAAGGTGCAGGAGGTGGGGAAAGAGTCAGCATGTTGCCTTAGTTTTGGAGGTTTCAGGAACTTCCATTTTGTGGGGAAGAGATGTTACCGAGGACCCTTTCCTTGTTATCCTTGCCTCTTCTGTCTGCCTTGGCCACTTTCAGTTAAGCCATATGGTCCTGCTATAACCAAACCAAATAATAGAATCATTGATTTCAGCATTGCCTGACTCATCTAATTCTTCTAGGAAACTCCTTTAAGTCCCATCAACAGATGCCAAAAAACCCCCAAAACACCCAAACCCTGAAATCAGTGCACCCTTCTAAGCCTGGAAGTGAATGATTCCCCTTTATTTGACATTTTTCTCTTTATTCTCAATTTCCCAGTTTCTGGATTCCTTCATGGCCTCCATGGCTTGACTTCTTTATTCCTACTTCTTTTTTTTTTTCTTACAATTCTGTATCTTCTTGACAGTGAATTCCTGATTCTCTCTTCAAATTCTCTCTTACCTTATCAAAACTCTGTTCCTTACTCATTCTACTTTCCCCACTTCCTCCCTTCAGGGCAAAATGCTCAGAATAGAAGTTCCCCTTTGAAGATCCCACTGCCATTTAAATCATCCTTCCACCCCTGCCAGATCATCACAGCCCTAATCATTAGCCTTTCATCTCCAACCATATGGCAATAAGGATTTAACAATGATCTCCCAAAATAAGTAGACTTGAAACAAGACAATAATACAACAGTCAAGTTCTAAACAGAAGCTAAAAGTTCAGCTGGAATCTATCCAAATAGAGGAAAAGAATTGGTGAAAATATACATGGCAAGGTGAGGTCTAAACAGGCAAGAGGCCTACAACAAAAAAAGAAGTCTAATAGCAAATGTTTAACAGCAGAGGGCATGAAACAGAAACCTACATTGTAGAGACTGAGATATTAGAAAATATGTACAAACACTGGGAAGGTGGAGAGGAGTGGATAGGAAACCAGGCAGAGAGCTCCAACACTGAACAATTAGGATAAAAGCTACCAGAGCCTGGAATACAAGTCAGAAACACAGTTCTAGGGAAATAGACTATAAAGCTATAAAGTCAGTAATCAGTGAGTCAGTATGGAGGAGTAGAATTTGGTGTTGGAAAACCCAGGTTCATGAGTTTTCTTGAAAATGAGCCAACTGGGGGCAGAGCCAAGATGGCAGAGTGAAAGCAGTGACTTGCTTGAGCTGTCCCCCAAACCCCTCTAAATGCCCATAAAAAATGACTCTAAACAAATTCTAAAGCAGCAGAACCCACAAAAAGACAAATTTCCAGCCCAAGACAGCCTGGATGGTTGATCAGAAAGGCATATCGCACCGGGCGGGAAGAGGAGCTCAGTTCAGCGTGGGTGCACAGGCCACAGTGAACCTGAAGTAGGATTCAGAGGAATGAATCACAGGCAGCTGTGGTGGTTTCCAGACTCCTCAATCCATGGACGCCAAAGACAACTTAGAAGGTCAGTGGGAAAAGTCTGTTTCTGTGGTGAGAGAAGAGCTAGGTCAGAGCCAGTTCCAGAGCTCGGAGTGCGGGCGCCAGGGCGGTGGCTGCCTCCTGAGGTTCCAGCCCACTGACTGACGGGGAATCAAGTGGCTGATCAGAGGGGATCTCTTTGCCAGTGCTGAGGCAGGAATCTCTTGCTTTGCCCGTACTTGGATCTGTGTCACAGTTCTGGGTGGCGGTCCCTCGGTGAGGAGGAGCACTGGCGCGGTGGAGCTTGTAGTGGTGGTGGAGAGAAAACCCTCCTCACAGTTCCAAGAGAGAAAAAACTGCTTGTGTCCGGTCACTCAAAGACCAGAGCACAGGCCAGGAAAGGAGTAAACACCTCACCCCTTATCATACCGTCTTGGAAGAACTGAAAATTTACAGGTCCCTGCAAGTATCTCTGAAAACAGCTATACAAACCCCTGAAGCTTGGGACAGTACATTCTCCACATTGGAAGCAGACTTTTACCTTAACAAAGAGTTTAAAACTCAAGTAGTTGGCTGGGATTATGAGCAAACCTCACAGAAAGAGTCAGACTACATTATCTTACTTTGGTGACAAAGAAGATCAAAACATACAATCAGAAGAAGACAACAAAGTCAAAGTTCCCACATCCAAAGCCTCCAAGAAAAATATGAATCTCTCCCAGGCCTTGGAGGAGTTCAAAGGGGATTTTAAGAAGCAAGTAAGAGAAGTAGAGGAAAAACTGGAAAGAGAAATGAAAGTGATGCAAGAAAATCATGAAAAACAAGTCAACAGCTTGCTAAAGGAGACCCAAAAAAATACTGAAGAAAATAACACCTTACAAAATAGCCTAACCCAAATGGAAAAAGAGGTCCAAAAAGCCAATGAAAAGAAGAATGCCCTAAAAAGCAAAATTGGCCAAAATGGAAAAGGAAGTCCAAAAGCTTACTGAAGAAAATACTTCCTTAAAAATTAGAATAGAGGCTGAGAATCTCTGGCCCACAAGGCTGAGAACCTCTCATGCCCGCTTGTCTTCACAGGCATCACCTGGCCTATGTGTTTTATCACAAATAAACTTTTCCTCTGGCTGAAGAAGATTTGAGTTGAATTCTTTCAGGCAGGGCCTGCTACCGTGATCTTGGGATCCCAGCAGCACCCCAAAACCTCTAGATCTCTTCATATGCTTCCCTGACCAGGAAAATAACTGCTAAATCTCAAACTCTTCTTCAGCCACGACTGCCTTGGATACTGTTGATCCCCACTTTCTCAGCTTCCCAAACACTGAGCTAGCTCTGGTAGTGCATGCATCAACCTCATCATCTATGTGTACATCACTGGAAAGCATATTGCCAAGGGAAGGGGCAACAACAGTGGATTCTGGCATCAAGCTTGGGATATGAGCTGAGAGCCCACGTATGTGCTTCCAACACAGAACATACGACTTTGAAATAGATGAAATCACATGGAGCTGTTTTTTCCACCTCTAGTAGGTTCTCAGTGGAATGCTGGATTTCATGACATGAAGTTACAGAAACTCCCAAAGGTGGATGAAATACAGAAACGTGAACTTGCACTATGCCACACTTCATGAAAAGCTAAGAAATTTATTCAAAAGATAGAGATAATCATGCTAGGCTGGCATAGGGATGCACTTGTTTTAAACCCCATTGAAAATCTATGGACTCTAATCAAGGCCAGACTTGGAAAAAGAGAGTGAATGTGAAGGACACACTTAATATTCCACATGCTAAAAGTGTGATTTCATGATGAAGAGTTAAAGAATATGAGTCACAGTCTTGTGAACTCAATGCCAAATCAGGTAAAAGAAGGGAGTGCAGGTAAAAGAAATGTGGGCTGTATATTATATTTTTTAAGGATGTAAAAATTTGTAAGGTTTGTTGTATAATTCAATAAACATAATTATTTTACAAAAAAAATAGAATACAGCAATTGGAAGATAGTGACTTTATGAGAAATCACGACACAGTAGAACAATTTCAAAAGAATGAAAAATTAGAAAACAATGTGAAATATCTCATTGGAAAAACAACTGACCTGGAAAATAGATCCAGGAGAGAGAATTTAAAAATTATTGGACTATCTGAAAGCCATGATCAAAAAAAGAGCCTAGACATCATCTTTCAAGAAATTATCAAGGAAAACTGCCCTGATATTTTAGAACCAGAGGGCAAAATAGAAATTGAAAGAATCCACCGATCTCCCCCTGAAAGAGATCCCCAAAGGAAAACTCCTAGGAATATTGTAGCCAAATTCCAGAGTTCCCAGGTCAAGGAGAAAATATTACAAGCAGCCAGAAAGAAACAATTCAAGTATGGTGGAAACACAATCAGGATAACACAAGATTTAGCAGCTTCTACATTAAGGGACCACAGGGCATGGAATATAATATTCTGGAGGGCAAAGGAGATAGGACTGCAACCAAGAATCACCTACCCAGAAAAACTGAGTATAATGGTCATTCAGTGAAATAGAGGACTTTCAAGCATTCTTGATGAAAAGACCAGAGCTGAATAGAAAATTTGACTTTCAAATACAAGACTCAAGTGAAACATGAAGAGGTAAACAGGAAAGAGAAATCATAAGAGACTTATTAAGACTGAACTGTTTACATTCCTGCATGGAAAGATGATATTTATAACTCATGAGACCTTTGTCAGTGTTAGGGTAGTGGGAGGGGAAAAATTACATGTATGGATAGATAGATAGATAGATAGATAGATAGATAGATAGATAGATAGATAGATAGATAGATAGATAGATGGCACAGGGTAAGTTAAAGATGAAGGGGTGATATCTGGAGAATAAAATTGAGGGGTGAGAGAGGATTATACTAGGAGAAGGAGAAAGGGAGAGGTAGAATGGGGTACATTATCTCACACAAAATAGACAGGAAAAGGTTCTTATAGTGGAGGGGAAGCAGGAAGATGAGAGGAAATGAGGGAATCTTATTCTCTTAGGATTTGGCTTAAGGAGGGAATAACACATACATTCAATTTGATATGGAAATCTGTCTTGCCCTACAGGAAAATAGGGGAGGAAGGGAACAAGAGAGCAGGGGGATGATAAAGAGAAGGGCAGATTGGGAAATGGGGTAATCAGAAGGAAGTACTTCTGAGGAGGGACAGGGTCAAAAGAAAGAGTAGAA